CAAGATCCAGAAGCAGCAGCAGCAGGAGCGACAGCTGGCCGAGGACCGCCTGCAGAAGGTGCAGGCCCTCTGCCTCCCGCTGGACAAGGACAAGTTTGAGATCGAGCTGCGTAACCTCTGGAGGGACTCCATTATCCCCCGCACCCTGGACTCTATGGGCTATAACCTGTACCATCCCCTCGGCTCGGAAATAGCCTCCGCCCGGAGAAGCTGTGACCACATGCCCGCCCTCATGAGCACTAAGGTGGAGGAGCTGGCCCGGAGCCTGCGGGCCGGCATAGAGCGCGTGGCCCGCGAGAACTCGGACATCCAGCGCCAGAAGCTGGAGGTCGAGGAGGCCCTGCGGGCCAGTCAGGAGGCCAAGGAGAAGGTTCAGAAGGAGGCCCAGGCCCGGGAGGCCAAGCTCCAGGCCGAATGTGCCCGGCAGACACAGCTCGCCCTGGAGGAGAAGGCGGCACTGCGGAAGGAGCGGGACAACCTGGCCAAGGAGCTGGAGGAGAAGAAGCGAGAGGCAGAGCAGCTCAAAATGCAGCTGGCCGTCAGCAACTCCGCCCTGGACACCTGCATCAAGGCCAAGGTGGGCTAGAGGGCCCCGGACTCAGGTTGCACTGGGGTCAGGTCTGGGGGCCGTGTTGGTGGTGATGTCTCGAGGCGTTGAGGTGAGCTTTGCAGTCTAGGTCTGGTTACTTACCGCACTTGAGAGTGTCACTGACACAGGATTGGGGTGGAGTTTGGAAGAACATGGAGAAAGGATTAAGGATTGGGATTGAGTTTAGGGTGCCTGGTGGGCCTCCAGATTGGTTCAGGGTAAGGACGGGGGATTCATGGAGGGTTGGTGTCAGGGTGGGGATGTGTCTGAGTTGACAGATCAGGGGCCATGGAGTGGGGGTTGTTAGTGAGACTGAAGAGTAAGGCTGGTCCAGAGGAAGGCGTGATGCGGAGCAGGGCTTGTGTTTAGGTGAAGGTGAGTTCTTAGTGACCACCGTGTTTAGGGTTGGTTTGAATTAAAGTTAGGGTTCCATCGAAGATCACATGAGTCTTAGAATTGGGGTTGTGCTGAGTTTGGATTGTGGGGAAAGGTTGAAAGTCAGGCCAGGGGTCACGTGCAGGGCAACCAGTGAGTTTAACATTGGGTGCAGGATCTCAGTGGCTTCTGTTCGGTCGAGTGGAGCCCCCAGAGTTGGAGTTGAAGCTCAGCTGAGCACAGGTGACTGGTGGGGCTACAGATGATTAGAGGTTTGGGGCCAAGGGTGGATTTAGGATTTCATGGGCATTAGGATTGGGATTGGTGTTGACCATGGGTTAGGAGTTGAAATTGGTTGGGGTTTAGGGTGGCTGACTGAGGGTTGAATTGGGCTGGCCTCGGAATATATTTGAAATGATAGACTGGGTGACCCTGAGTTAGGGTAGGGAGACCTGGGGAGGGGTCAGGGTCAGGGCTGGGTGTAGAGCAGAAACCACACAGGGGCTAATCTTGGAGTGGGGCTGGGTTGAGGTTCCATTTGAGGTAAAGTCTAGGGTCTAAGGTTGAGTTGCAATGAGTGTGGTATTGGGAAAGTGTTTCTGGGTGGCCGTGGTGGCGTCCAGGGCTGGACTGGGGGAAGGAGGCTGGGAGTGGATTTTTCATGGCAGCCAGGTCTAAGGAACGGGTTGGGTCCAAGTTGGGTGTCAAGTTATGATCTTTGATCAGGTTTGTCATGGGGATTGGGTTTAGGTCAGGGTTTGAGTCTAAAGAAAGCACCGTTTTCATGTTGGATTTGGATTTTAGGTGATTGAGTTTAAAGCTGGCTTTGGATTTCAGGTTCAGGGTCATTGGAGAGAAGGCAGAGAGTTTACAGAGTTAGTCAGCTTCAGCCTAGAGGGGGGCTGGGTCCGGTGTTGGTGGATGGACTCAGTTGGGGTCATGAATTGGGGTCGGGTTGGAACTAAGATTGTAGGGGAGACTGAGGCAGGCCCCAGCAAGCTCTCTGGGAGGCTTCCAAGGAAAGTCAGCTTCCAGAGTTCCCGGTCCCTTAAGGGCAGGTGGGTGCATGTACATCCATTAATACGGGTATCTGTCTCCCGGGTCTGTTTCCCCGCCCTGGAAGGAACTCTGACCCAGGCATCCAAGGGCATAAAGGAGCAGGAGCCTCCATGGGATTCTGGTTCAGGGGTCCCGACTTCTGCCAACCGCCCTCCATCTTTCTTCCCACAGTCGCAGCCGATGCCTATGCCAAGACCTGTGGCCCCTGCCCCCAACCGCCAGCCCATCGGTGAGTGACAGAAAGCAGGGCCAGGAAGACATTCGGGGATGGTCCTTTCTGCTGCTTCTCCCAACTCAGCCCTGCTATTGGGGCTGCTGCGCCACCCCTAGCCCAGGGTCGGGGNGGTTGGTTGAACCTGACCCCTCCCTCTCACCACAGACCCAGCTGTCCTGGAGGAGTTCAAGAGAAGGATCCTGGAATCCCAGAGGCCCGCAGGCAATGCTGTAGCCCCACCCAGGTAAGGCACTGTGCAGACTGAGATGATTCAGTCTCAGGGCTTCTGCGGAGGCTGGGAAGAGGACTAGGGGTGGAAGGAGGCTCATCTCGCACTAGGTGCTTCCTTAATTGAGTGCTGGCTGTCTACCAGGCCCTATGCTGGGTCCTGGGGACACAGTCATGACTAAGACCCATGCAGACCCATTCATGGAACTCCTTCATTAAGGGGTGAAAGAAACAGTAAAGGAGCCATGAAAAGAGAGACCAAGAGCCTACAGTTACGGGCGGCTTACTGTGAGTTCAGCACAGTCAGAAGCACTTCGCCAGCTTAAGTCGCTGAACCCTTACAACCCTAATCAGTGGGCGAGCCACTGTCATCACCTCCCACTTTCCAGATGAGGAAAATGAGGCACAGGGAAGGTGTGCGCTGTGGCCCAGGTAACACAGCTGGGGAGTGGCAGAGCTGGGGACTCGAACCCAGGCTCTTGGACTCCAGGCCCTCAAGAGAGGGCTTCAGTGAGGAGGAGGCCTTTGAGTTGGAGGATGGGCCCAAGCTGGTCTGGGAAAGGGCAGAAGGCACAGCACTCTGGACGATGAGAAGAGCCAGGGTAAAGGCTCAGAGGCCAGGCTGGGGGATGGGGGGGGTGGCTGGAGCTAAGGAAGGGAGGAGGGAGAGCAGCAGCAGCGCGGAGACCCCTCTGATTCTCTTTCTAACTGCTACAAAAACGGAGGTCTCTGAAATCAAGGGCATGGAAACTCTTCGCTAACTGTGAAGTGCTGTCCACAGGCGCATAAAGCCAGGGGCTGGGGGTTGCAGCGGGGCGCATCAAGGCACCTGTGCACACACTCAGGTCAGGGCTCCGTGTCTGTACCCTGCCCCCCCTTGCCCCCTCCCAGAGTACAGCCTGTGCATCACAGGGAAGGTGACTCAGGCCACCGCCTCGAGAACATCCTGTTCTTCCCTCCCAGATGGTGGCTACGGTCCCTGTGCAGGACCATATCTCTGGGCAAGGAGTCTGGGAAGGGCACTGCCATTCACAGTTAAGGACCCAGGGCTCCGGGCGACACCGGGGATTTTAAGTCAAATTCCGCCAACCCCAAGCCTGTGCCTCTCCCATGGCTTTGCCAGCAAGGCTGTGGTCTGCCCAGGTCAGCCTGGGACAAATTGACTTCCAGAGTGTTGTCTTCAAATCCCGGGGTGGAGATGGTCCTCCACATCCAGCTCCATTTCCTCTATGGCTCCTCTTACATATGCCCTCTGACGGGGAGCTCACCCCTTCACAGCACTTGTCCCTTCCGTTCTGGATGGCTCCATCTGGGAGAAATCCCTCAGCCTCAGGCAGCCCTCAGGGAGGGAAGCAGGAGGATGGAGAGAAGACCCTGCTCCAAGCAAACAGTTTTCCTCTCTCCATCTTGGCCCAAAGCCAACATGGCAAGGAAGGAGGCTCTATTATTATCCCCACTTTTCAGAGGAGGGAACTGAGGCCCCAGGGAAGTGACCAGCCTGGGGTCATGCGTCAGTGAGTCAGGGCCAGAGCCAGGCTCCCAGCCCAGACCAGTCCCAGGCGGAGAAAGGGGAAGCTCTTGACATTGTTTACCCCCAAAGACGTTCCTCCACAGAGAAAACAATGAGTACTTAAAGCAGGGCCCCTCCTGCTTCTCTCTGCCAGGTCTCAGGAAGGGGCTCTGGACCTCTGTGCTCCAGTCTTGATTCACCTTCCCCCTGAGAAAGGGGCCATCGGCTCTGGCTTGGAGTCCCAGCGAGGCCAGCTCCTGGGTGGGCTAGCATAGGCAAACCACAGGCTGTACAATCACCACATTGGAATTTTTCATGCCTCTGGTCAGGGGCCAGGGCTGAGGTCCAGCCCCAATCACTCAGCTCCCCCCACACCCTCTGATCAGGAGAGGGCCTTCCTTTTCCACTCTTACTCCTTCTGACCTTGACGCAGTCTCTGAGCTGCTAACATGCTCCCACTTGCAGCTGTCGCCACGATCCCAAAGCCAGGGCCAATCCAGAACTCTCCCATCAGCTGGACCAGAACACAAAGTCTTGGTTTTCCCGTGGACCCTTTTAAGTTATTTTTTCTTGATGGCAAGTGCACTAGATTTCCTTTTTCCCTGACAAGACCGTGTCTTGTGGATATCCATTTCTTTAAGTTAAACACACACAATTAACGTAAAGACAAATAAGTATATACTGGTTTCGGGGCCCGGGGGCTGGATAAGGCAAAAGTTGTGAGGCGGTTTTGGAATATAGGTGAGTTTCTTCAGTGGGGTGAGGTCCAGAGCCGCCAGCCAAGAAAGAATTTTTT